AGCAACAGCAACAGCAACAACAACAACAGAATGAAAAAAATGTCTGGATCATTGACATTACTATTCCAGGGGATGCCAGAGTTGAAGATAAAAGAATTGGAAAAACTAACAAAGTACAGAGACCTGACAATTGAAACATCTCACTTGTGGGTGAAACACACTTCAGTGATCCCTGTAGTCATCGGATCTTTGGGAACAATATCAAGACATTTCATACAGTACTATAAACAGTTGCAGATCTCAAAAATAACACCATCAGAGCTACAAAAAATAAAATGACAATGTTAGGAACAACTTGCAAATACTTAGGTTTTTGATTAAAACTTTTATCTGTTATATAATACCAGTCAATGTTTTTATAATTTTGATTGAGAGTGCCTGGTGTTTCTGAAAAACAACAATAAAAACAACAGTCATCAAGTCAATTCTGACTTATGGTGACCCTTTTCAGGGTTTTCCAGGTAGAGAATACCCAGGAGTGGTTTCCCGTTCCCTTCTTCTGGGGACGTCCTGGGACAACGTAGCTTGATCAAGACAACACAGGCTGGCTCTACTCATAGGAAACATAGCAGGGAATCCAAATCTGGTTCTGCAGCCAGATACCTAAACCACTGAGCTATCCAGCCAACCTGAGTTATAATAACCAGCTCTTATTGATAGATTTGGGTCATGCTAATCCTCCTGTTCTCCTGATATCCCCATGTGGCAACATCAAAACCATTGTCTTCATGCTGTCCATAAGCAAAGCTAGACATGCTTACAAGTTTGCTCTTAAAAGGCCTTGAATACTTGGACCCAATCCAGAAGCATGTTTTCATTTGATCACATAAGCAGTTTTTCGGCATTTTAACTGGATTCCTTGAGTATTTAGCCTTAATTAATCATTCCAAAGTGCAGCAGCACTGAATTTTTTATCTGCTGTCTCATGAATTATAACATAGTTATAATTATAGTTATAATTTCATAGTTCCAATAAGCTATATGACTGCCTGCAATGTACCACTGTTGGTATGATATCTAAACTTGGATGTCCCCTAATTTCATTAAATTGCATACTGATAAGAATAGGCTACTGGGGATTGATTTGTTACAGTACAGGATTTCTTCCCTCACTCTACACTTCCTAACACTTGCCTTTGATGGTCATATAACCTTGGAGATGTATTTGATCTGAATCTCTCCAGAGGAATCATCATATTAATCAGACAAGAAGATTCTTACATTGATGTCTCAGGAATTGCTTCAAGCTAGTATGACCTCTATAGCCTCACAAGGGACTAAGCCTTTCATACCATGCTTTTATCTCATCCTGTTGACCTAATTGCTATAACTCTGCTTGCTGGCTTACCAACCTGCATATCTTTTCAGGAAAAAAGCAGTACCTGTGGAAAAATATTAGCTGCTAAGAATGCATTAAAAAGTGTGGAGCTACATATTTGTTACTGGAGGAAACCTATCTACCCATCCATGTATCTCAGCTATTTTTATGCTACTGTCTGTCCCTACAGGGACCCAAGGAGGCTCACAAACAATTTGAAAATTTAGAACTTGAAAAAAGTAAGGCCAGGATCCTAGCAGTAGTGCACTTCCCCTAGATCCACTCCTTCCACCAGCAGAAACATGCCCATCCCAAGCGTATTCCCTCTGCAGTTGGCTGGATAGCTCAATGAGTTGGGCACCTGGCTGCAGAGCGACAGATCTAGAGCTCCGTTCTTCATTGTGCCTCCCGGCCTTCATAGCCTTGGACAAGTGCCTCCTCCTTCCACTTCTGAGTAATTTATACATTGGAAATTGTGGGACGGGTTGCTGTTAAGTCAGAGTCATGACAAACCTGAGGCTGTCATTCTTTTGGCTCATGAGAAGACAAGATTCTCTTGAAAAGTCAATGATGCTAGGAAAGTTTGAAGGCAGCAAGAAAAGAGGGAGGCCAAATACAAGATGGATTGACCCTTCCTTTAGCAAGCTACAGGTTTGAGTTTACAAGAGCTGACCAAGGTGCTTAAGGACAGGACATTTTGGAGACTGCCGATTCAGAGAGTCACCATAAATTGGAAGCAATTTAACAGTGTGTAACAATGAAGTCAGAATCAACTTGACAGCATGTAATTATTATTATTCTCCCGGCAGCTTCCTGTAGCTTCCCAGCCTTCTCAAGCCAGTGTTCGGCATGACTGAGGACTAAAGGAGACAAGAAGATGGCTTAGGTTCTGTTGGTGAAGGCAGCAGATTTAGCTGAAGTACACCACTGAATCCTGGTCATTCTGTTCTCCTGTCTTAAATTTGTCCTAGCACCAAACATACATATCATGGTTTCCCTGTTGGTGGAAGCTGCAGAGGCAGTGGAAGTACTGGTCACTGGCCATAACGTTTAATCTCATATAGGATCCAGTGTATGGTTCCTGTGAATGTATCATGATGGCAATTAGATTTCTCATATCCTCTTACCCAAAAATCAAGAGAGGTCCATTCGTGAAGAAGATCAAGCCCAGACAACTCTTTGCTCTCCAGTGCAAGTAGAAGGAAAATGAAGCATTTTGCGAGTGTGTCACTGAATCTGCACAATCTAACCCATACTTATTACCAAAGCATGTTCCCGGATGGTTATGTAGCAAATGCTTTTCTAGGTCCGCAGGCAGGGAGAGAAATCTAAAGGCAACTGGAGCCAGAGGAAGTGAAAATTTGGCAAGATCCTCTTTCTACCCATTCCCAGGTTTTTATTGCCCAAGAGGAAGAAGGTATTTTCACATATGTTGTATTTGTACCATACCGCTGCCTTTGGTACTCATCCTTCCTTCCTATAGAGTAGGACTGCTCTACTCTTCCTAAACATTATGAAGAAAAGTATGAGATATATTGATAAAGGTATACTTCAGATTTTGAACATGTTTTCTTCTCATTGATCACTGTTCTTTGTGCTATTTAAAGTTACTGCCAAACACAACTGCTTTCACTGAAATGTGTAGTTTTTCAAAGAGGCAGCTTGCTGTCCTCAAAGGTGTGGTGTAGGTAGAAAATGCCATAAGGACCCTCAGATCTCAGATTGTTCATCTGCTGATTATCCTTATTTTCAGAGACAATGAAACTCATGGTGGAATAAATAGGAAAATATGACCATTTATGTGGTACCTAATTGTACAATTTTTGCTTTATTTTGGAGAGTTACTGCTTATTTCAATCTGTCTAGCCAGGGCTCACATCCAAAAACTAGTGTATTAGTTCTCATAATAGCTTATATGCTATTATAAATACAGCAGAATAAGCAACATTAGATTTTCAAATGAAAAACCATCATGTTCATTTATTAAAAGAGCAGAAAGCTCTAAGGCATAATTATATTTCCAGGCTAAATATGAAATGTTAATAATGATGTGTAAACGTGCAGGTTCAGCATCCAAATTTCCCATAAACTTGTAATCTTTCTTTGCTTCGAAACATGTACATGTACTGTACTATTTATTCTGTTTCCTATGTTTTTAATCAGAATAATGAAACAATAACAGGAGAATATGTGTCAAAATAAGGAATGTCCATATAGCTGCTGACATGAGTCTCTCATGAGGAGAGAAAAACCAGCACAAAGTATTGAAAACTGAAGCTGATGACCAAAAGCTTTCCCGCCCCCCTGTCCAATTCTGATTTTACCTTAACCTAGCAAATGCCCGCAGCTTTGCCAGGCTTAAAAGTATACTGTATGAATACTACCTTAACATACTAGCACTCCTTTCCTCTCCTCTTGCCCATTATTTCTTTCACTGTACTCTCTCTGTTTTAATTCTGGCACTTTCTCAGCCTGTACTAGCTTTATCTAACCTAGAAGCTGCTTTGTTCCCCTCACCCATATTCTTTCACACTCCATTCTTTCTTTCCTTTTACCCCAGTCCTCATTCAGCTTACCTCTCCCTACCCTCGCCATGGTGTATCTCTTTCTGTCTGTCTCATAATAATTAAGTCCCGCCAAGTCAATTCCGACTTACGGTGACCCGTTTTCAGGGTCCTACATGAAGCTGTTGTACAACAAGGAGGAGACTCATAACTTTGTTGCTCTGCTTCTTCCTTGCTTAAAGCTGTGCCAACCACTGGCTAGAGATGTCTGCAATCCAGTGACTGGAGATGATACTGTAGGCTTCAAACATATAGGCACACTTAAATTAACTGCATCTAATTACTCTCTTAAAATAAACTAAATAAAAGAAAGTTGTACATCCCATAGTGACCTTTTAGTATGCACACCTGATTCCACATATTTACAGTTCATGCTCTTGGACCAATACAATCCTCATTATTATAGTTGCACCAGTTCAGAAGCATGCATCTCTCTATGACTGATTCAGGGAATAATAGAATTTAGAGCTAGAAGAGATCTTGAGATCATCAAATCAAGCAAGACATGTACAGCTAAAGCATCTTTGACAGATAGTCATCTTCCTTTTGTTTAGAAACCTTAAATGAAAGAGATTTCATTGCCTTGTGATTTCACTGCCAACCAGCCAATACTGTCAGGCAGTTCTTCCTGATGTTTAGTAAAAACTTGTAAAGTGCAATGCTTCTGAAAGTGACACTTCTGGGTTAGACTAGGATGCATGTCCACAAACAATAAGAACAGCTTTGTCCCTGTGCTACTCCACAGCAAAATATGCTAGTGATGTGAGTATAAATTAGCACATGTCAAACAAACAGATATAGCTCTTAATGAATCATACAGGATTATTGCTGGCTGCCTGAATCCTGCCTCACTGAAAAAGTCTATTTGGCTGGCATTGTTCCTCCAGAAAAACATCAAGAGGTGATAGCGGTCTATTTGGCTGGCATTGTTCCTCCAGAAGAACATCAAGAGGTGATAGCAAATAATGAACAAAATAAGGTAATATAGTACCAAACTCTTTCACTTTATGGACACTAACCTCCTAAATGACAGCTAAAATCTGCCAAATTAAGAGCTCTTTGGGGCGAGAATTCACATCTCAGCAAAATTACTTTAGATCAGAAGTGTACAACACAAATCCTTGAGGACCGTTTTTATGTTTACAACATGAGGCATCGCAGTGTTAACTGGAGAAAAGCATTTTGGTTACAATTTTATCCGTTTGAAATTGAAAGCTGTTCTGTTGACCTCTTTTCTGTCTGTAACCAGTTTACTCTCCTCTTTGTACTATTATTGATCTCTGAATCTTACTCTGAAACCTTGTTTCCCTTACCAGACACACAAGAGTGCTTTCCTCTATCACTTTGTTCTTTTCAGTAATGCAAGACCTAACTCCCAAGTTACCTCTTAAGTTTTTGTAACAGACACATGCATTAACTCTTTCCTGCGCACCAGATAATGCTCCTTCTCCATGCACCAGTTGCAGTTCCTTTCCCTCGTTTAGTTTAGTTTTTGCTTTATTACCAAACTGCTGCCTTCTCTCCATTTTGCCTCACTGAGTTTCGCAACAGTACATGACTTCTCACTCTCTCAGCAGTTCCCAGAAGGAATCTCAGCTGTAGGTGGGCACTACAGCATGAACCTCTAGCTGCAATATGTTGTGTGTAGCAGATAGAGCCAGTTCCACCAGATACCTTGTTTTGTTTTAGTTTTTGCTTTATTACCAAACTGCTGCCTTCTCTCCATTTTGCCTCACTGAGTTTCGCAACAGTACATGACTTCTCACTCTCTCAGCAGTTCCCAGAAGGAATCTCAGCTGTAGGTGGGCACTACAGCATGAACCTCTAGCTGCAATATGTTGTGTGTAGCAGATAGAGCCAGTTCCACCAGATACCTTGTTTTGTCCCCACTTCTAGGTTTTTACTGGAAGTTTAACGGATAGATCAGGGTGGGGGAGAAATGGCCTCCTGATGCTGGACTACAACTCCCATCATTAACTGGGCAGCAGCTGAGCCAGTACAATTACAGTGAGGTACAGCAACACAGTCAATATGTACCTTAAATATTTATTATTATATAAAAATGAGAAACAACTGTAAGCTACAGCTGGTGCTACCTGCTCATCCACTAATCTAAAAGGTGACACTCAAGTTTGTAAGACTGTGCAGAATACAGTAGGACCCCCTTTCCTTTCCTGCCCTTAATCCATATTAAAATGGCACTTGTACATCGAAAAGTTTGTAAGTCGAGGCAAGATTTCACATAGGAATGCATCGAAAACCATTTATTTATTTATTTACTTATTTATTTATTTATTTAATCCATTCAGGCTGTTTTTCGTTCTTATCTAGAAACGCCGGTTGCAAGTAGAGGCATTAGTTCCCATAGGAACTAATGAAAAGCTGGTTAATCCATACTCTACAACTAGGGGGAGAATTTAAAAAAAAATTTTTTTCTTCTTTTGACCTAAGAGGAACTTAGGTCAAAAAAAGGGCAGGAAAGGTTTTTTTCGTTTGTAAGTCAAGGCTCCGTTCGCAAGTCGAAGCAACATTTTTCAAACGGAGCCATTCTTAACTTGAAACGTTCGGAAGTGGAGACGTTCGTAAGTCGAGGTACTACTGTATAAAGAAATTAATGACACCTTATTTTGTCAATAATCTCCAAAGCACTGTTCAGTTCTTGAATGCCATCAGAAATTCTTCTATCCTCTCACAACACAAGTGTATTGAAACACCGTTCCAACAACAAAAGAAAACTTTTCAAATGCTTTTCGGCTGCTTTCTGGCAACTTCTGAGAATCCATCAACCTAAATTTTCAAGCCCAGTGTTTGTCCACAGCACCAATTCACCAACAATAATCATCCAACAAAAACAAGCAGGATAGCTAAAGGGAACAAATATGTATGCAAAAGGGAACAAATAGTCTGGGTAAAAATAAAAAAGGCAGGGGAAAACAAAATATAAACAGTAATAAAAATTAACAGACTAAAGCTTCATAAAACATGGCATGCTGTATTGCCACCATTCTGGTCCAGCTATGCTACAATATACAGCAAGCATAATCCTTTCCTGAGGTATTTGGTGAAAGAGCACAAGATACACTCTAAACAATTTTTTTAAAATTATGCTTTCAGGAATGAAAAACAAGTTTTAGGTTTAAGGATTCTTTACCAGGTTTCAAAAGACTCTTATTAGGAACAATGCCAAATTTACTGAAACATATTTAAGAACAAAAAAGAAATAAAATGATTTCATAATTTTACTACTGTACAACAATCATGAAAATGCTGTATTTTTCATCATAAAGATTCACTTACAATATTACAAGATAAACGTGGTAATCTCCCAAGTTTTCCTCTTTTTATTTACAACGGCAGAAAAGATTTAGTAGCAATATACACTCTATTTAATACAAGTATATTTTGTCTATTTACACAACATATAAATCAATCACTAAGTTCTTCCTCATCACTAAAATATGCACTTTTTTTGATCCGTGGCCGTTTTGAGTCTGATGTTGAGGGCTCTCCTGCAATCTGTGTTGACCTTTGCTGCTCTTCTTCAATTTTGGCTTGCTGCAAAATAAATGCATGAAATAAAATGATTGCAGACAGTGGGAAAATAGTCCACAGCAGTGATTCCCAACGCTGGGTCCTGAGATGTTCTTGGACTAGCAACTCCCAGAAATCCTGGCCAGTACAGCTAGTGGTGAAGGCTTCTGAGAGTTTTAGTGCAAGAACATTCGGGGACTTGAAGTTGGGAACCACTGTTCCCCAGAGCATTTAACTGCAGCACAAACACATTGAAAAGACATTTGCTTAGTGCGACACTGTCGCAATTTGCTCTTTTTATGTGTCTCTTGCTCACAACTTTAAGCCATGCATTTCTGCACAGATGTACCTTTCGCAAGGATTTTTAAACATCAAAGGATGCTTAGTCTCATCTAAAATATAGTGATGGAGTAAACAATCTATAACCACCCCCGAACATTTAGGTGGCCCCCCCTTGGTGTCCCAATCTTCATACTCCCACATCTAGTGGGAGTGATTACTTCATACAAATTGCTCTTTATCCCTGGCTGCTAGCCAGGGACATGTATGGGATCTACTCCCCTTCATGGATATCATGGCAAAGGGGCTTGAATAATTCAGAGAAGCTATGGGCTATGCCATGCAGGGAGACCCAAGATGGCCTGGTCATAGTGGAAAGTTCTGACTAAACACGATCCCCCTGGAGCAGGAACTGGCAAGCCACTCCAGTAACTTTGCTTGAGACAGAAAACTCCATGGGCAGAAACACAACTCCATGGACAGAAACAAAAGGCTAAAATATATGACACTGGAAGATGAGCCCCTCAGGTCAGAAGGCGTCCAACATGCTGCTGAGGAAGAGCAGAGCACAAGGACAAGTAGCTCCAGAGCTAATGAAGTGGTTGGGCCAAAGCTGAAAGGACGCTCAGCTGTGGATGCGCCTGGAAGTGAAAGGAAAGTCCGAATCTGCAAAGAAAAATACTGCATAGGAACCTGGAATGTAAGATCTATGAACCCTGGTAAGCTGGATGTGGTCAAACAGGAGATGGCAAGAATGAACATTGACATCCTGGGCGTCAGTGAACTAAAATGGACAGGAATGGTCAAAGTCAATTTAGACAATTATCATATCTACTATTGTGGGCAAGAATCCCGTAGAAGAAATGGAGTAGCCCTCATAGCCAACAAAAGAGTGGGAAAAGCTGTAATGGGATACAATCTCAAAAATGATAGAATGATTTCAATACAAGTCCAAGGCAGACTTTTCAACATCACAGTAATCCAAGTTTATGCACCAACCACCAATGCTGAAGAGGCTGAAATTGACCAATTCTATGAAGACTTACAACACCTTCAAGAACTGACACCAAAGAAAGATGTTCTTGTCATTATAGGGGACTGGAATGCTGAAGTAGGGAGTCAAGAGATAAAAGGAACAACAGGGAAGTTTGGCCTTGGAGTTCAAAACGAAGCAGGGCAAAGACTAATAGAGTTTTGTCAAG